ATCAGTGGCTGATTCCAGGAAGCTGGGGGCAGAGCAACTCTGCCTCGGGCTTCCTGTAGTCAGCCCCTGGTCAGTTTCAGCAGTAGCGGCTGAATCTGGAGCCAGTTCCGACTTACGTACAAATTCAACTTAAGAACAAACCTATAGTCCCTATCTTGTACGTAACCCGGGGACTGCCTGTACATACTGAATCTACTAAAGGGATCTCTTAATTCCTATGACAGGGCAGCACAGCCCGCACTCTTGCCGCAGGTGGCACAGAGCCAGCGCTGTGGCCGTGAATAGCTGTGCTCCAGCCAGGGGTGCTGAACATGCCTGCCGACCCGACGCCCAATACTGCTGGGGCCAAAGAAGGCTGGTGTTATGGGGCAACACAGCCCCGCACTCTCGCCACAGACGGTGCAGAGACAGCGCCGTGGCCACAAACAGCTGTGCTCTGGCCGGAGACGATGAATGTGCCCGCTGACCTGAGGCCCGGCGACACTGAGGTCTAAGAGGGCAGGGCATGCTGGGAGCGAGAGGGCATTCTGATGCCAGCCCAAGGGGAGGGGCAGTGTAGGCACAGGACCTTTAAAAGGTCTGCAGGCTGCCAGGAAGAGAGGGGATGTAAGGATGCTGTGGTAGTGCTGGAAGCACCTCTTGATGACTAAGATGACACCGAGAAGACACCCGGAGAGCCAAGGGATAAGGAGAAGGAGGTAGGGTTGTCAGAGTGGACCCCATCCGGGAAGGCTGGAGGAGATCTGGCAACGGAGAGGTAACTAAAGAGGGCTAGAGAAACACAGGGGCTGACCCAGAGAGCAGAGTGCTCTGGGACTTTGTAAGAGGGAGGACGTTACAGACGACTCCCTGGCAGAGTATCTTTACGGGCAGACCCTTGACACTCCCCTATGATACTCTGAACTTCAACAAATGGCTTGTTTTAGAGGCTCTCAATCTCTTTACAAATATTAATTCACCCTCCCACAGTGAAATGGCATACATATACTATAGAGGGATACATTATGAGGCTTGCATAGACAATAGAGTAACATCTTATTAAGACTTAAAGTCCATTGTTTATTTTTAATAAAAATGTTGACAAAACGATACATTGTAAATCACAGTTTTACTTTATTGAAAACAGAATCTTTAAAAAAAATGCTAAACACACACACACAAACTGTGACATTTATAACAAAGGAAAAAGATACCAAAATCTACACCTTTTCACTATTTCAGTGGGAAATTCAAGCCATCTAAAAAGGCAGTTTTCATACAGTTTTGTAATACTTGAGGATAACAACAACTGAAAATTTTATAAAGCACACATTTTCAGATGGCCTAAATTAAATCAACCTCAAGGATTTGGTGAGGGGGATGTATCTGCTTCAGATTGGTAACAACATCATCAGCGCTAAAAACATTTTTCAGCCATATTTTGCTTCCAAGGTAGGAAAATGCCCACAAACATAAGTTTTAGTTAACAAAGGACTTCGTACTGCAAAGAATTAAGCACTTGCCTAACTTTAGCATGTGAGTAGTTCCACTGGCCTCAACAGAACTACAGATATGCTTAAAAGAATATGTATGTTTCTGCAAAGACAGATCTAAATTGGTAACACTGGAATGGAAAAGCCTAAATCTATATGAGGGAAAAGATCATTAAGTAGCCAAACCTGTACCAGACTTGTGGGGTTGGGGGTTTTAAAATTATTATTTATTACTATTAAAGATCTGCCATTGCACTACCATCAGTGCAAGTATATGGTCTCTAATGCAAAAAAGATGGTATTTTTTTATGAGCATGTAATCAAACCCTCTTCAAAGCACGTCTAGACAACACAGTTACAGGCTGAGCCTTAGGCACACACCCACTCATGGTAGTGCAGCTGAGATTTTGCTTTAAAAAAAAAAAAAAGCTTAGTATAGACAACACCATTGAATTCAACAGGTGTTTTGCCTGAGTAGTAAAAGTAGGATTAGGCCCCAAATCATTCTTTCATATAGATAGAGGAACTTATGTAAGTGAAAAAACTCTGTATTGATAGTTTGTGTGTATGTATTGGTGACAGGCTACAATTTTAAAATCCACAATCCTAACACGTCTTCATTTTTGAAATTTCTGTATCTACTGGAACTAGACAAAACTAAATTTCTTAAGGTTACCTTTAAAAACTGGGGAAAAGGTGGAACTTTTTCACTACTCTTTTCAATTAGCATGATGTTGAACAGAATTGCTCAAACTTTTTAACTTGGCCATCCTGTTTGAAACTGATTAGTTTGCAAATGTTCTAAATTTTCTCCAAGATCCAAATTACACATACATCATTATTCACTGTTCAGCTTCTACTGGGATATTAAGGGACCACAAATAGCACAGGCTAAGTACGGAATAAAAACCTTCATTTCTTGGTACCATATTACAGTTGTCTTGATAATCAAAACCACAAAGAGCTGCTATATATTAATGCACCAACAGATTCATTTTTTATCTCTAGTGAGGTGAGGCATATTCATAAAAGGGGGCAAATTAAGTAATCAGTCTTTATTTTAATGGAATTCTATGTTGATAACTAAATGACCAGATAGTACTGGTATTTCCATAGTATAAACACTTATGGTAAGCAGTCTCATATGGGACTACTGGGAGAGCATACAGGTATTAAATAAAATCAAAGCTGATGTACTGATCCCTTCATTCCTTGAAGCAAATGGAAGTGTTGAGTGCATGGGGTGTGCAGGCTAGATTTCTAGTCATGAAGGAAACCTCATAATTACCTTTAAAAAGTTACTTATGTACAAATTGTATTTAATGGAAAAAACAGAACAGCAATATGTTGAGATAACTATGGTACAAATATCTAAGAACACAACACAATTACATATTATTTAAAGACATTTGATATAGGTACACTCAGATTTAACAAACTTCCCTGTAGTCATCTGAACCCCTTTCAAAAACTGGAATTTCATAACAAAGTTTCCATTTGATCAGATACAACTTTTACACAGCTCTGATACAAATATGTTAGGCTGAGTATTTAACCTATTTTACATTTGTTAAAGAATTTCTCTATTACACTTCAGCCATCTTTCCCAACTGGAATGAACCTGTACTATAGTCGAAACAAAGATTTTCAAATTTAAGGCTAACAAATATAAAACTGACTTATTAATAAGAGTGTCTGGTAAACGAGCTATTAGGAAAAGTCCATGAATGAACAATTAAACAGGCAAGCAAACTGTGCAGAATTTAAGATCCTATTTTTCACCTTTCCTATTTTAAAACTTAAAAATAGATTGGCTATCATAACATGCAGCTATCCTTACAATTCATGGATTACCGTAATTGAAACCAAAGCTTCTGTGTTCCTGTAAAACACCATGCAACCGTAAGTAGACAGTTATTTGTGATATTTCCTGCAATTCTAGTCAACTTAAACACCTGTATATTGTAAGTTAAGGGCAAGAGGCTGACATATCATTTAATCATCCAAAATAAAAAGCGAAGACTTGTCTGTGAAAGAAAGCACAGTAAGAGTCTTAAGTTAATAGGATAGGAAAGTGTTCTGGAAAACAATGGATTTTACTTTTAGACTGATTTGACTTCTATAT